ATTATATTGCTCTCTCTGGTGCCCTGTCTGATGCCTATCTTGTTACATGGCCAAACCATTAGATTTGCTGTCTACCCATAAGGCTCAGTATTGGTTCTGTGCTGATTCTCCTCCTGATATTGTTCCCAAGTCGAACTTTCCACATTACACTTCACACAGTATGTAAACATTTCATTTCTGCTGTGACTATTTTCCTTTTGTCTTCTGAAGACAATGTCCCATTGAGTCAATATGTATATAGTTGAATTTATAAAAAGACCGATTCTACACTACATAGGTAGCCAAAGAAGAACAGAAAATCCACGGAGAAGGGATCTTATCAGTCGCCACATGCTGAGGGAGATAACTGAAGACGGGATCTGAGTGTTTATTCATGTACGGTGAAGATGACTGATTGATTGATTACCTAATTAATTTCTTGAAGATTTGTTTAGACTTAAGCACTGCTTTAGCATAAGATAATTTCAACATATTTAAACACATAAAAACAGATGCCTATATTTTCAGATATATTTACTAGGCTGTACCGAATAGTGATTTTCACTATTCAGCCGAATACGAATAGCTGGACCAACTATTTAGCCGAATACGAATACGAATAGTGAATTATCACCATCAGGTGTTTTGCCGACTGGCATGGGCGATTATGCCTCGCCACAATCTGCGATCTCCTGCAGCATGTATCAGTTCGTGTGCCGACACACCTCCATGCCATGCAACAAGACTGCCAAGCATCTTCTCTCGTTGTCTTCCTCTTTCTCTCCTTCCACATATCTTTCCAGTGGTCACCACATGTTCCATTTTCCCTCATCTTATAAAATGGCCGAAAACTGATGACTGTCTCCTTCTGATGTCTGTGATAAGTTGTCTTCAGGCTTCCGCCTCTTTCAAAACCTTTTGATTGCTCTTTTTGGCTGTCTACGGTATTCTAAGCATTCTTCTGTAAAACCACATCTCTGAGGCCTGAAAAAATTGTTAGGCCTGCCTACCGACTGTCCAGGACTCACAGCCATATGTTAAAACTGGATGTATGTAGCAAGCAAGAATTCTTTTGCTAATCTTCAATGACAAATATATATTGCATAAGGTGTTATTCATTTAAAAAAATGCAGTTTTTGCCTGTCCTATTCTATTTCTTATTTCAGTAATGCATCTTCCATCTGGTGTTATCCATGTGCCCAGATACTTAAATGTCTGTACTTGTCCCAAAATGAAACCTTTGATTTTTATTACACATTTAGGAATAATTCGTTTCTTTCATACCACCATTACTTCTTTCTTGCCACTATTTAAACTGAGGCCCATTCTTCCACTTTCCAATAGTGTATAAAATAGATCTAAAAAAAAAAAAAAAAAACATCCATAATGTCAAATCTACGCTGAAATTTCACTTCTCAAAATGTAGTACAGAATAGTAAACATTTCAAAACACTTCAAGATTTGTATCCTTCAGTCAGTCAGTCTGTGGTAACTAATACCTAGGAATAAAAGAATTCTAAGTTTTATAACAAGTAACTAAACCTGTAAATTGTCACTGACAGCTTAGTTAATCCATGAAAGCTGTTTCATGTTGTCAGCATTATTATGTCCAGGGGCCGCAATATAGGCAGGCCATAAATATGGCCAATTGACTGAACGCGGTTTCTGGGATCTCTCCACGGCGATCCTCATCTACATGGTGGCACTTTGTATCATCAGATGTTTGTCGCTTGTGTGATGTCCTGGTGGGGTAGAAAGTCAGCCAGTCAGTCAGTCAGCATTAAGGCAGCTTCTTGTCTCACTGGAGGTATTTCCAGCTGTACTAATCAGCTCTCTTGGTACGCTCGTAAGTGGTGCACAAAGATAACACTTGACAGTATGAACCAAGGTGGGAAATCTTGATATATTTTTTTTACACCAGGGTGTAAGGTAACCACTATTCGTATTCGGCCCGACCACAACTATTCGGCCGAATACCGAATAGTTTTTAGGTCCACTATTCGGTCCCGAAGCGAATACGAAGCGAATATTCGGTACAGCCCTAATATTTACCAAGCAGAAGAATGCATGTCTGGATGTTTTAAGCAACTCCCCCTGACAACATAGATGCATGTCTGGATGTTTTAAGCAACTCTCCCTGACAATACTAGATGCATGTCCGGATGTTTTAAGCAACTCTTCCTGACAATACTAGATGCATGTCTGGATGTTTTAAGCAACTGCCCCTGACAACATAGATGCATGTCTGGATGTTTTAAGCAACTCCTCCTGACAACATAGATGCATGTCTGGATGTTTAAGCAACTCCTCCTGATAATACTAGATGCATGCTTGCTTCTAAACTTTTACATTGTTTTTTTAACTCCCTTCCCAACCTCCGCTTATATACTTAATATACCTTTCATATTATTATTCTATAACCACTGGGTTTGGTTTTATGAGAGGTGTGGATGTGTAAATTTGTTTTTACGTGATGAAAACCTAACTGTTTTTTTAATCTTTCTTTAATGGAACATTATCTACCACGACAAAAGGCAGTCATGGTTTTCTACCTTAGATGATCACCATAATTATGAATCAGGTCAGTGTTCTTTGCCTGCTCAAGCCATATGGCCAGGCCATCCAGATATGTTTCTCTCTGATTCTCTCTTGCTCTTTTCCTATCACATTTATCAGTCTTCACGATATTTTTCTTTTCCCCCACTTCTCATAACATGTTAAAAAAATTTAATTTTGGTAAAATTTTAATTTCTAGTAAATATCTTAACAAGATTGTTTAAACCAAAGGTTTAAAGATCTCTGGTTCGATCCTGGGTTTTGGCTAGTACATCGAATCCATTGGCTAGCAAATTTTTATTGTAAAGTGGGCTTTCAAGCCCAGTATGTAACCCTTTGAAAATAAAGTTCTTTCATTTATTCATTCTCTTATTCAAAAAATAAAAAAATTACCAGTTAAAAAAATGTTTACCTGTAGTCTGAAGTCGCGAGTGTTGTTGTTCACAACTGTATTAACTTCCAGAAGTCTATATTCACCAAGACCATTGAAAATGATTTTCTGCTTATCCAGTGTCGAGAAATGTGGGTCACCAAAGAAGAAAACTTGAAGAAATAAACATATGAAAGTCAAGGGAGGACAAGGCTCTTTCATGTCAGCGGCATATCAGGCAACTAGTGCTAGACATATTTTATCGACTAAATGGCACTTGATGGGTGTTCTGGTGAACCTTCCGCCTTAATTTCCCATATAATGTTTGTAATACCAAGCCTACGCTGGGCTGATCTGTAAACTGCACTTTACAATTAAAACAAGTAGTAATTGCACAATACAAACGATGGAAGGTAAGTAAAAATGATCACATTATTTTCTCCAGATAAATGTACTAGCAATCATAAGCTAGATTTATGGCAAAGTGACCTGGAACAAACCTTAGATGCATTTTCTGGCAGTTCCAACTTCATAGCAGATGTGCCACCTTAAAATTGCTCTGTTCCCATGACAATGAAAGCCACATAAAATGTCAATTCAAATCCAACAGCATACATGCATTAAATGCATAAGGCCCACATAAGGCAGCAGTCAGAAGTGCCAGTACAAACAGTCCATCAGAAATGCAGTTCCCCTCATCAGAAACAGCAGTTATAACAGATAAGTTGTTGTACACATACTTATTCACACAAATCATTCCTTTATGTGCAGTACAATGTCCAAAACGGCAAAGCAACACAAACTAGCCAGCTTCCAATATGCTTGCAATTTTTTTTTCAAACCTGGGTATTTTGGAATTGTGAAACAACCCTTGAGGTACAGCTTACAGTCAGAAGGTTAGCTCCGTATCCTTTACAGGACGTTGCAGAACCAACCCCATCAGCCTCTGGCTGTTGTGTGGCTTTTCTAGGCAAATTTACGTCCCGTAGTTTGCCATTGCATTCTGGACGGTCGGCTTTCTTGATATCACTGTCGAAACCAACGCAAGGCGAATCGTCTGCAGCTGGGATAGAACCTGACATCCCAGCATTACGAAGCGTTCGCATCGACTTAGACACAGTCAGAAGAGATCAAGTTTATATAGAAAAGAGAAAACATTTTCTGTTAATAATATAGGAAACAGAAAACTTTCTGTTAATAATATAGGAAACAGAAAAAATTTTCTGTTAATAAACAAACAAAAAAATTATTATAATAACTAAACCACATTCTGCTGACAAAGGTTAGACAAAATATTCAAAATTTTTCTGTTATACCCTTTTTAGGGGTCAAGCCATAATAGAACCAGTAACAAAACACGGAGAATGTGTCCAGTACATAACACACAAAGCCTGGTTGGAAATGAGACAAGACAGTCAGTCAGTCAGCTCACGTTCAACTGGGTATGAAATATTGTGGGACGTAGGTGAACACTGGTTTTGGTCGCAACAGATAAAATCTAGCAGACGCCAATTAGTGGTAATACAGCTGTTAAGCCAAATGTCACCAATTTTGAAATGCCAGCCTGGGAATATAAGCACTAAAAGAGCATTGTTTAACACAATATTCTTACCAATGCTGTGCTATCGGTGTCAAACATTGACACTGTCTTAAGAAGACAGAAGAAAAATAGTCACAACAGGAATGAAGAGTTTAGTACTATGCTAGGTGAAAAAATGTTTTATTCTTCTTCAAATTTTTCCCTTAAAAGGGCCAAAGGCACGCTGTGATGTGGTTTACAGCTGGGCTGTGATATTTATGCCTTTTAGTACAACACATGCAATTTTAGCGAACAAGTCACCATGTTAAGGAACAGTGGGTAAATGACCCCACCCCCCAACATATTAAATATTGTGAGGTAGACCGGTCTCCATTTGTGTCCATCTGATGGGGAACTACAGTGTTAATATTGTTGAAATCTCCAAGCACAGGGTGTGGGAGAGACAACAAGGGAGCCCACCTCAACTGACACACAGGCAGTCGCACAAGTATTCAGAAATCACCCTACCCCAACAGCACAGCCTCTCATTCTCTGACACATTCATTCATTACTTACCTCGCCAGGTAAATCTTGGCTGGCAACTTCGAACAGGCCTGGCAGTATAATATAAATGACAGAGATTTGACCGATAACAGCACCACTCTTTGGGTGCAGTATCGGATAATTCATGGTTGTAACCAGAAAAGTAATAAAACGGAGTAAACATCTGAAGGTTTCCAGACAGAGGCATTCTGTTCTCAAAGCTTCCCCATCTTGTGTAGCAGCATCGCTGTAATAAGTTCAATAAATTCATGAATGATAACTAACAAGTATGGTTTTACTTAATTAAAAAAAAAATTTGATTTATTTCATTGCAGCTTTCAAATCCATGTTTACCTAGAATATTTATGTCCATCTGTGGTTTAAGCTAGGCTGTGACATCTATACGCTTTGGATTAGCACATCAGATTTCAAAGAGGATTGTTAATGAATTTTGAACTGACTACAAATATTTGTAAGTATGTGGTTAAAGAATGTCAGATAAAGAGAAGAAAAAACTATTCACCAGGGAGATGAATGGTAGTAGACCACGAGGCAGATCAAGAAGATGATGGAGAGATAATATCCAGACAGACCTGCATACACTTGATGTCACCAACTGGAAAGAGGGAGGCAACCTGAGAGATGAATGGAGGCGGGTGAAATCTGCAGCAATGAACCTCAAAGGCTCTGGATGCTGAAGAAGAAGATGTGGTGCCCCCATATGTAACTGAATGTATGTTAAATCCTCTGTGGGTCCCCTGTACACTACTGTTTCTTCTGTTGCCCCTCTAATCCCAATGGGAAAGCAGATGAGAACACCACCTATGGTGGCACACCATGACCTAGGCTCCAACTGGTTAAAGCATACCTAACCTCTACATGGTCATCTTAGATCCAGGCTCTTTATTGGGAGCCTGGCCAAAACAGACAGGATCAATGTCTCCTCTAAAGTTGGACTGCATCTTCCTGCGACACAAATAGGTCAGTCTGGAGAAATGATGTGTATGCAATGCTCAAGGCCTGCAGAAAGACTAAAATCCAGACATTGATGAACAGACAGAATTTTCTGCTGGAGTTCACAGGTGGCAATCTCAGTAGGTGGAGGAGAAGGAGGTACAGCAGCAAAATGAGGAGCAGGAGGAGGAGGAGAATGAGTAGAAGGCAGAGGGGGAGGAACAGAAAAAAAAGTAGAAGAAGAAAGGGGAGGAGGAGAAGTAGGAGGAGGAGAAGAAGTAGCAGGAGGAGGAGAAGAAAAGGACGGAAGGGGAGAAGAAGGAGAGGGAGGAGAAGGAGCAGCAGAATTATAAGAAGGAGGTGAAGAAGAAGAAGTAGTTCAGTGGACAGCCTTTTGTCATGGCATGGAGGCTGTTGGAAATCTCAAATTGCTGGTAAGCTTGATCGCCCACATTAAGAGCTTGCTGCTGCTGCTGCTGATGATGACAAATGCTGCACAAGTCCTAAATCAACCCTGGCCCAGTCCTTGATAGACACATTCTGAACTGTTTTTGTGTGTGTGCAAATGTAATTTACTAGCAAATGAGGCAGTCAGTCTCTAGCCAATATTTCTTTATTGTCTCTTATGACAAGCATGATGGTGTTACTATTCTTCACTTTCCATGTGGGCCTTGGTAACAAATGTGAGTACAACCCGTTTTGAGCTAAGAATTCCCATCATAGCACTTGAGACATTCTCATAAGCACTACAGTCCTATAGTATATCTGCCTGTTCATTTACTAACACATCGACATCACCTGGAGAAGATATCCAGAGGATGTTAACTATCGGGATCTTTAAAACAATGTACAACCAGTGTTGCTCTAAAAATCTTGTCACAATCATAGAGGAAGCAAGATGATTTTGAAAGCACCATTATTACTGCTTTTGAATTGTGGTATGAGAGTGGCACCAAGGATGAGATTGATTCCTTTCCAGGTAATATTCCCAAAGACTGCAATGATTGCATGTGTTCAGTCACCCTGTGAAGATTACAAAAACAAAACAAATATTGCCCAAAAAAAAAAAAAAAGGTAACGAGTTAAGTTAAAACTTACTCTCCCAATCTGACCAAATTGAGGAAACGAATCATAGCACCCAAACTGCTGGTATGAAGGGATCCACTGAAAACTCCACCGGGCAGCAATCTCAGAACAGGGGCAGGCAGGAACAATCTGGTTCCACTGATAAATACCTGGAAAGAATAATTACTGACTAATCATTATTGACTCACAATTATTGACTCACCACTACTGACTTACCATTATTGACCTATGAAAAGGGATCTTTTACAAGCTGCATGGAGCCTCTGTAAGGGGTAGTCTAACTGTTCCACTCTTTATGATTCCATTATGATTTCAATAGCCAAATGTTAGAAAAAGATAAAATTTCAATATATGGAAATACACAAACTCTGCACATGTGTGTGTGTGTGTGTGCACATCGCACCCCCCACCCCCCTCTTTTCCCATTATAACTCAGAAGAAGAAACTGAAAATTAAGTTACTATTACATCTCTTTATCATTATTATAAAAGTAAAATCTACATGGAATCTGAGAGGCAGTACAGTATAGCCTTTAGTAATCTGTATCATTATTATATGAATAGAATCTGCAAGGAATCTTAGACCCAGAGGTGCATCACTTTTTATAAACTTTTATCATTATTATAAAACTAGAATCTACATAAATTTGACAGTGTGCAGCAGAACCTTTAGTAAAATAGATAGTTGGGCAAAGATAGCTGTAGAGAACTATAGGCAAGGATTCAAAAGTGCAGCAGAACCTTTAGTAAAATAGATAGTTGGGCAAAGATAGCTGTAGAGAACTACAGGCAAGGATTCAACAATGCAACAGAACCTTTAGTAAAATAGATAGTTGGGCAAAGATAGCCGTAGAGGACTACAGGCAAGGATTCAACAGTGCAACAGAACCTTTAGTAAAATAGATAGTTGGGCAAAGATAGCTGTAGAGAACTATAGGCAAGGATTCAACAATGCAGCAGAACCTTTAGTAAAATAGATAGTTGGGCAAAGATAGCTGTAGAGAACTACAGGCAAGGATTCAACAATGCAGCAGAACCTTTAGTAAAATAGATAATTGGGCAAAGATAGCTGTAGAGAACTACAGGCAAGGATTCAACAATGCAACAGAACCTTTAGTAAAATAGATAGTTGGGCAAAGATAGCTGTAGAGAGCTACCGGCAAGGATTCAACAGTGCATCACAAGAACAAAGATGTGCATATGAAGTGTTACTTTAATACAGAATAATGCTATTGCAAATAACTTTAAATATTCCTAAATATAAATTATACAAAGTGATTATTACAATTATTTAATAAGCTCACTTTCAATATATTAAACATAGCAATCTATTATCCTACAGTCGATTGCAAACAATTCATAATTTATGTAATATTAAATAACCAAAGACAATTGAAAAAGATAAATATCCAATAATTTAATTTTTAAAAAAAAAAGCAAAAACTATATAACCCATTTATAACTCTGATGGACTGAACAGGGTATTGTTGTATACATTACTACTATTACTATTTTGATAATCTTGAGGATGATTATAAAAGTCTACATGGACTCTAGATGAAATGTCTAACTCTTACCAAAGAGAGTTTTTATGTTAGACTCAAACCACTGGTGGCACTTTGCAGCATAGTTGGGAACATACCCCAGCTTATAGATCCAGAGACCAATATTACCTGTGATGTTACATACAACAATGTTTTAACACAAGCATATCACAAGTGAATAAACTTTGAAAACAATACATACCATATTACTTTGTTTTGTTTAGGTATATGATATGTATGTTGCTGATTTATTTACATGGGGTGTTTTCTAAGAAAACTAACCATCTTACAAAACAGTTCAGGAATCCTGACATACAAAGTCAATTGTTTTTTGTTTGTTTTTTATACAATGGATATATAATGTATGGAAATAGCAGATATGAGACTATGAAAACAACAGACACAAGACTGTATTATGAGTCAGTAAAAAAAAACAACCATAAGAAAATACAGTTAAGAATGTATGAAAAAAAAAACTATAGGCATACGACCATTCCAAGACACACAGCGGAATTATCTAGTCCAATCTGTGGAGGGTTGCAGAACAACATTGTTTTTATTCTAGTCTGCCAATTCATTAAAAACCATTACTGCAAAAATAAAAACAAAGGAACCATTTTGAGCCGCTGACAACTTTAGGATTGGCTGCTAGAATGACATTTGTAAAAAATCTGTATATTTGTCAAATTCATGCCAATCACCTTTATCTCCCGAAACATTTTCTGGTACTCATTTTAGGATGTGTCAACCTAGCAGTCCTAGGTCAAACTTAAAAATGCAACTTGCATTTTAATATGAAAAGCAATAATGTAAACAAAACAAACGATTACAAAGTGTAACATTTCAATAAATAATGATCATCTTCATCAGGTATAAAGAACAGTTCTCATTTTCAGTGAGAAATACACGATGGCACACCTACACTGTGTGAGAAAATGAAGTTCTGCTAAGAAAACTTTCCTGATTTCCTTTTCAAATTTTGGAACAAGATTCTCCAAGTCCAGAAGTGGAAAAACAATGAGAACTTTCCACCAGAGTTTTCAGGGGCAGAACACAAAGAAGAAAAAGAAGATGACAAAGAAGAATTGATGACACAGAAATAATAGAATGAAGGAACCGACTGGCAGCCATATGTGATGCATCAATCATTCACCGTCGTGAGGGTGAATATTGTCCAACACTCTCTGTTTCTCATCTTGGTTATACAATCTCTATGACTGATTTTATTCTTTTTTTGATGTGTCCTCCCACCTGTTTTGTTTACCTCTCACTCTCTTGCCTACACCTGTACAGGATAGGCATAAAAGAATCTGCTGCCTGTGATTGTGGAGCAGAAAGACAGACCCCTGAGCACATACTGCAGTACTGCCCTTACCTCTCCCAGCAAAGACTGTGGATCTGGCCCAGGGGATCCACATTGCGAGAGAAGCTATGGATGACCGGTGGCAACCTTAACCACACAATCCTATTTGTGACCCAGACGGGACTCAATGTTTAGCATGACTGATGTCAAACGCAGAAGAAGAAAAAGAAGAACTCTCTTGCCTTTTACTTTTCCCTAAATATGTTTTTTAAAGATTAATATGGTTTTTAATGTGGCTGAAATATTTAATGTCTCTTTTTTTTAAATGTCTTTTATCATCATATTCATTAATCAACAGGTCCTCTCTCTCATGGTGCCCCTGAAAGTCTCTCTTTCTCCAGCCAATTTGTCAACCCTGTGTGCTTTCATAGTCAATGCTCCTCAATGTCTTGCACCCACTTTCGCAGATGTCTGTTTTTGCCTTCTTTTCCAAAATTCTGCTCTCTCTATCACCGTTCTCTCTCTAAGCCACCATGATATTTAACATGACCAAAATACTTCCGCTTTCATGGCAGGATGCTGTTGATGAGCTGATCCTCCTTAATGCTCAGATGCCGTAGGATATCTGTGTTTGTCTCTTTCTTGGTCTATGATATTTTGAGAATATTTATCCAGTATTTCAGTTCAAGCGCTCCAATTGTTTCTTCAAAGACTGAGTAAGTATCCACCATTCATATCTCAAAAAGGAAAGATGCACGATCTCAAACGCTTTACTTTAACTCACTTGCAGATGCTCTGCCCCCATCTAACGACTCTCTTTGAAATCCTGGTCCCTTCTGTTTCCATGAAACATGACCTGTTCTTCTGTATACCCACATCTTTAGAGACTCAATTCCACTTTCTCAGCAACATAACACTATGTCTATAATGATGATGATGATGACACAAAAGCATAATTAAAAAAAACAGTTCTCACCTGTGTTGCCAATGACTCTGTCAAACTTGTAAAAGTTATTTCTACTGGTGTCCAGGTTGATACCATTGACACAAACCTGGACTCGCCGAGAGGAGTATGGGTTGAAGTTCATGGCCCCTTGAGCATATATGTAGAAAACATAGGATGTCTCCCCATTGGAGATGATCATGGCCTGAAAAGTCACTCGCTGTTGAGATAATATTACATGTTAGTAAAATTAGTAGTGAGTAAAGTAAGTAAGTGAAGGACTCTTTTCCTGGCCTTCAAGCATATTGGGCATATAGGGCTAGACCTATATCTTACAGACTAACTGGCATTCGGTGGGTGATGTGCTGCATTCAGATTGGAACCCACAACCTTTTGATCTGCAGGCTAGTGTCTAGCCGCTACACCATGGCAGCTTCCAAAAAGCAGGTAGTAGTAGTAATATTTACGTAAATAATACCTCGTTGGTCCCTCAGGGCTGAAATAATTTACTTGACACTTTTGAAAAATTTGTTTCAGCAACTCGTTTACTTCAAAGTTATTTTTGTTTTCCACATCTCCAGACAATCAGTTCAACTTTTTAGACAACAGAAAAGGACAAGTAGTGTTCCAAGAATTTTGGAACTTTTTGTTTTGTGTTACAGTGTGATTACATTTGAAATTTGCTGTATGTTACCTTATAATTTTTATACTAACTTGAAATACAAAAATAAAAATAAAATTGAACTGCACAACATTTGTTGTGATGATGACACCTGAATGAATTAGGCTACAACTGTGGATTGGCTTGTTTTACTATACAGGAATAAATAAACCTGAGAATTATGTGAAAACTACAAAAATACAAAACACTGCTTACTTGAAATTAGAAAATATAAAGTGCAAAAAGAAACTAATTATTGACTAATGGAATCACTGTAATCCATCTATGAGTGAAATGATAGTTATGGTTAGTCAGCTCTGGATTTTTTTTAAATAGGGTGGGGGGGGGGGGGGGATTAGGTGATTTATAACTAGAACTTAAATTCATTTATGGGAAGTGTAAGAAAATGCATTTGTAATCCTTGGAGGTATTTGTTTAAAAAGTTACAATCACTGAGGATGATCAACACAATAGGGTTTAAGAAGTACACAAAAGGCCTTAATTCAATAATCAAAAAGTCTATTTTAAAACATAATGTTAAAATATTTTTGAAACAGTCACTACATACTACCCATTATAGTCAAAACCCAATAGGTGTGAACAGGATATTTAAAATAATACAAATATAAATTACATACATGACTGAAAGAAATGAGATACAGGATATACCATTGTCTTCTTCTTTTTTCTTAGTTACCGGCTGTAAACTCCGGCATAAAGTTTGGGCTGTTTGTCCATATCCAAATTTGAGTCTTATAATAGAATCTAAGTGTTGTGTGCACATCTGTTTAACATAGTTGGCTTATATGTATGATGACTGCTGGTTCCTTGCCTTTCAGGTAGAAGCACTCCGACTTTTTTAGTCAAATCGCATGACATGCTTAAATGAGGAGCAGTGGGTCTATTCTTGTTTTTCTCCCAATGGGGCCCTGGAACCCCCACAGGTATATGCCAATGTATTTTCAATGAATGTTTTTGATATTTAAATTATCTCTTATATAAATTTTATTGTTATTATCTAAAATTTTACTCTACCAAGATTTAGCAGAACACACACGAGCTAGCCTGGATGAAATTTCAGACAGTAATGCTTCTTCCATGGATTTCCTGTGTTATTTTTGTGTGTGCAGATTCCAAGCCAGTGCTTTTCATTATCATCATCATCATCTTTTCTTCTGTGTTATTCTCCTCCTCCAATTATCCCATTACTCCAGCAAAAAGTATGGTGGGAGAGACAGGATATTCTGCATGGTCTTACTAACAAGCTGTATGAGTTTGTTTTCATTTCTCTTAATTTATTCTTAATGCCATTCTCTGAGTGGTCTTCCCCTTGCCATGGGTTTATTGTAACTCTTCAGTACGGCTCTCTGTGGTAATCGGTACCAGTGAATTCTGGGCCAAATTTTTTCATCTATTGCCTTTTAACTCCCAGGATTTTTAGCATCACAGGCCCAAGAGGTAGTCAAGAGAGACGTAAAATCGGCACATCATGTGTTCATTGTGCTTCTAGATAGGAACCTATGAATGTATGATGCGTTACCTGGAACTCAAAGAGGTAATGCACAGTTGAGAAAAGAAGCACAAAATATTTACTGCTTTTTTTACCTCATTGTCTCTTCTTCTCACTGGACTAGCTGGCATATCACTCCATGTAACTTTAATGGCCACTATTGCCTCAAAACGCCTTTCATTGGTGTACAGCATCACATCCCTGCTTGCCTTTTCTAACACGTTCAGATCATATTGTGGAGATCTTGCATTCTTTGAATAAACCTGTCGAAGGAAGTAGCAAAAAAAAAAAAAAAAAACAGTTAGAGAAACCTGAGTTCTTATGGTACAGGAACAAATGAGAGGTGAGATCAAATATTGTCAACTCCAGTTTTTTTTTTTTTGGTTCTAGAAGAATATTACTCACCACAAAGTGTCAAACAGGTACTCACCACAGTGTCAAACAAGGTACTCAACACAAAGTGTCAAAAAAGGTACTCACCACAAAGTGTCAAACGGGTACTCACCACAAAGTGTCAAACAGGTACTCACCACAAAGTGTCAAACAGATACTCACCACAAAGTGTCAAAAAGGTACTCACCACAAAGTGTCAAAAAGGTACTCACCACAAAGTGTCAAAAAAAGGTACTCAACACAAAGTGTCAAACAGGTACTCACCACAAAGTGTCAAAAAAGTACTCACCACAAAGTGTCAAAAAAGTACTCACCACAAAGTGTCAAACAAGTACTCACCACAAAGTGTCAAAAAGGTACTCACCACAAAGTGTCAAAAAAGGTACTCACCACAAAGTGTCAAAAAGGTACTCACCACAAAGTGTCAAAAAAGTACTCAACACAAAGTGTCAAACTGGTACTCACCACAAAGTGTCAAAAAAGTACTCAACACAAAGTGTCAAACAGGTACTCACCTCAAAGTGTCAAAAAAGTACTCAACACAAAGTGTCAAACAGGTACTCACCAAAAAGTGTCAGAAAAGTATTCACCACAAAGTGTCAAAAAAAGTACTCAACACAAAGTGTCAAAAACGGTACTCAACACAAAGTGTCAAAAAAGGTACTCAACACAAAGTGTCAAACAGGTACTCACCACGAAGTGTCAAAAAAGGTACTCACCACAAAGTGTCAAAAAAAGTACTCAACACAAAGTGTCAAAAAAAGTACTCAACACAAAGTGTCTGAAAGGTACTCACCACAAAGGGTCAAAAAAGGTACTCTTCACAAAGTGTCAAAAAAGGTACTTATCACAAAGTGTCTGAAAGGTACTCACCACAAAGTGTCAAAAAAGGTACTCTCCACAAAGTGTCAAAAAAAGTACTCAACACAAAGTGTCAAACAGGTACTCACCACAAAGTGTCAAACAGCTACTCGCCACAAAGTGTCAATAAGTTAATTACCATAAAATGTCAACAAGGTGTTGAAAGTGTTTAAAAGGTACTCACCACAAAGTGTCAAAATAGATACTAGCCACAAAGTTTGAAACAGGTACTCAACACAAAGTGTCAAAAAGGTACTCACAAAATTTCTTATTACAGCAGTGAGGAACAAATTATGCCTTAAAAAAAAAAAAAAACCTGATACTGCATAATGTTGCTCAACATCAGGAAAAAACCCTCCTCAACTCTTTATGCAGCATACAACTCACCAGGAGATCAGTAAAACTGTCTCCACTGTCTGCTGAACTTACTCTGAGCAATTATACTGGCATTTTGGGCTCCTGGGAAAACCAGTGAGCTTATGTCAACCAATTAAAGGCATGAGATTGCTATTTATGACAAGTCACTTGACATACAAACATTAGCATGGGGCTCCTGCAAGTGACCATAGGGTCCACGCGACAAGACAGCCCTGGGAAAGTGACCAGAGGGTCTATGTGATGAGACAGTACTGGGCAAGTGACTAGAGGGTCCATGTGTCAAGACAGTTGTAGGCAAGTGACTAGAGGGTCCATATGTCAAGACAGTCCTAGGCAAGTGATTAGAGGGTCCATATGTCAAGACAGTCCTAGGCAAGTGACTAGAGGGTCCATATGTCAAGACAGTCCTAGGCAAGTGACCAGAAGGTCCATGTGTCAAGACAGTCCTAGGCAAGTGATTAGAGGGTCCATGTGTCAAGACAGTCCTAGGCAAGTGATTAGAGGGTCCATGTGTCAAGACAGTCCTAGGCAAGTAACCAGAAGGTCCATGTGTCAAGACAGTCCTAGGCAAGTGACCAGAAGGTCCATGTGTCAAGACAGTCCTAGGCAAGTGATTAGAGGGTCCATGTGTCAAGACAGTCCTAGGCAAGTGACTAGAGGGTCCATGTGTCAATACAGTCCTAGGCAAGTGACTAGAGGGTCCATGTGTCAATACAGTCCTAGGCAAGTGACTAGAGGGTCTCAAGTCCTGGGCAAGTCACCAGCGGGTCCATGCGACAAGACAGAACTGAATCTACCCCTTCATGGTGGTGGATGGAAAAGGAAAGGGCAGGAAAGGGGGGGGGGGTCGTGATTTTGAGAATTTAGGGCCGCATGGCTAGTGCATTTGCATCACACTGTGCAGGTTAAGATTATGTTTTCCCCCCATCAGGAACAAAACACACACCCTTATCCTTTACTGAGGATTGAACTCAGGTATCCTGCATGAGAGCCAAGCAACATAGCTGCTTCAGTAGCTGCTCCTCCGTTAAATGGTAGTCCAAACACAGTATAATTTTCTGATTTCTTCTCTCAGACGGGTGATACAAAAAAATAAATAAAGGGGGAGGGAAGATACGGGTCAGAGTTAGGCCCTTGAAACACTTTCTAGTGTTTAAATACTTAATAATAATAGTACAAATAATAATAACCATAATAAAAATACCAGGACCCCATTGTGGGAAAAGCAACAATAGACTGACTGACTATCCGAACCATGTTGTAGGAGTCAACTAATCGGGAGCTTCCTTTGAAGTCAGAAGGCATCTGCCTGAGAGGCAAGGAACTAACAGTTGCATGCAAATGAGTCAGATCTGTGAAAGAGATAAGCACACAACACTCAAGTTCTGGAACAAGACTAAAGTTTGGATGTGGACGA